ATTCGAGTCTGTTTACTTTATCCCTGTCTTCTAACCCATCCTCAGCTACTTTCCTACGATTACCTGACATCTGGATACATACCTGATCTTGGGATCGGCGATCGGCGATCGCGATCGGGCCTCGATCGGTGATCATGATCGAGCCTGGATCGGCGATCTCGATCGGGTCACAATCGGCGATCACGATCATATCTCGATCAGACCTCGTTCGGCGATCTCGATCGGGTCACAATCGGCGATCACGATCATATCTCGATCAGACCTCGATCGGCGATCTCGATCGGGTTACAATCGGCGATCACGACCTGATCTCGATCAGACCTCGGTCGACAATCACGACTAGGTCTCGATCGGACTTCGATCTGTGACCTGGGTCGACGACCTCGACACAAGGGTCTTGATCTCGATTTGGGAGCGCCGCCCCGGGATCTTGAGTCGTCCCTTGCAACTGTCGCGCGGTGACTTCTGTCGCTGCTACTTTTCCTGGGGCAATTGTCAGCGACCTTTCGAGCATCCCATCCCTCCTCCTTCCCCTGGGACCAGATCGGCTTCTTGCCTCGATCTAGGATCGCGCACACCCCGTGGGTCTTGATCAGCAATTGGCGGGGTTCAGAGCGCAGCCGTCCCTCCTCGATCTTGGTCCGGCGGTCCGCCATAGCCCGCGATCGTCGTTCGACCGCGAATTCTGCCCATGAATTTCCCTTGATCCGACATTCCCACGAGACAATATGGGTATGTCACCACCCTTCTTTCCGTCGAGTCGATCTTGGGTCATCGTCCATCGATCTTGGGTCATACGTAGTCCCCATCACTCACCGATGATGTCGCACGTCAGATCTTTGGGCGGTGACTTGATGTCTTGGTCTGAGTGGGATTTCTGTCCCCTGGTCCGTCTCTTTCTCGCGATCTGGCAGCCGGGGTTGCTCTTCTCGTGAGATTTCGATCGCACTTTACCACATCCGCCCTCAGCCTGAAAGTTGGACCGTTCGGGTTCACGTCAGGTCTCATTCCACAATCTATCGACTTGGGCATACTCCTCTTCACCCCTCGTCCAAAGAACTTAATGAGCCAGACCGGCAGCAGCCCCGCAAGCCCCCCCCCTATCCCGACTCCTCCTGACTCGCCGCGGTCCACTGCAAGCCACCAGTCGCGACACTCCACGATCTTGCGCCGCTCACACTCCCACACCTCGGATAGGGATCGGCGGTTGGCCACGTTGGAGAGCAAACTTCGCCAGAGCAACCTCACGCGAAATCGCCTCGTTCGGGACCGGGATCACCTCGATCTGCAAGTCCAACAGCTGCGATCCAACATCCGGGACAAGGAGGCGTTCCAGCACGGCCAGCGAGACGAGATCACCCGACTCGAGACCGAGATCTCGACTCTCACCCACAAAATCGGTGACGATCCGGAGAATCTCCACGCCCAGGTCCTTCAACTGCGCGCGAACGGAACGACTTCGAGCGTCAAACTATTTCCGCCCGTGAAGATCTCCCCAAGGCCGGGTCCGATCGTGATCGTCTGCGCCCGGATGCCATTCAAGCCGGGGACGAGATCAGGGACTTGCAGGAGCAAGTTCGCGGTTTGGAGTGGGAGACTGACAACGCGAGGTCCGAATCCGCCACCGCTCTCACCAGCTACAATCGGATCCCCTCCAACCTCGCCCACACGCATCCAGATCACGAAGGGGATCCGTCCCTTGGAAGCTCTACTCGTCTCGCCCAGGCGCACCGTGATCGCGCGTTGGCAGATCTTGCGGTCGCCCAGGCAACCCTGACACAGATCACATCCGATCGCGATCGAGTCTTCAAACAAGTCGCCCAGACCACCGAGGATCTGGATTGGGCGCTTGTCTATCGTGATTCGGACCTTCGGCTCGGTGATCAGGCATTCGCCGAACGCGATCAGGTCCGCTTGGATCTTTTCACTGAGACTGCCCGCACTGCTCAGCTGGACGATGATCTCGAGGTGATTCGCCTGGAGCTTCAGGCGAGGGAGGGCACGATGGCGGATCTCCAGGTCGTCCACGACCAACTCGCCGAGTTGCGAGATCTGACCGATAGTGATCTAAATGAGGCCGATGTGCTTCTCACACACCGTGCCAGCCGGATCAGAGAGAGTCAGGCCGCGCGAATGCCGAAACGTGTGCGAAGTCCGCCCAGTTTTCCGCCCCAATTTCCGCCTCTCAAAATGCCGCGTAGTGATCGACCGGTTTCCCCGCCACCTAACCAAACTCAGTCTGAGATCGAGGGTCCGGAGGACCAGGAACACCAAGCTCAGTCCGAGATCGAGGGTCCGGAAGGCCAGGAACTCGAAGATAAATCTGAGATCCCAAGCGGGGGCGGGGGCAGCCCGGGTGGTCACGACTCCCCTTCTCCAGTCCCACGACGCCTCCCTCTTTACCTCCCAGATCTCCTGGCGGAAGCCGTGGTGGTGGTTCCCCGGGGGTGGCTCACCCATCCAGTTCCATCCACCGTTATTCCCCGCCGAAGCGAGTATTCCTCATTATTCAGCACTCAAGCTCTTTACGGCAGCCGAGATCAATCCGTGGGACCCGACCATCGTGGGAACTGTGCCGATCATAGCCATGATCCAAGCCACCTTGACGAAACGGTTGCCGATCCCGCCCAACTTCCTATTCCCCTATCGAGCCCCTCTGATCCGGCCATCCATACCTGTGACCGGTTACCGTTCGGAATTGATCACCGGTGCTAATGTTTTGGCTTTTATGGCTACCGAGCCATGGCGCATGCTTGGCCAGCGTCGTCCCACTCCACTAACTTCCTCACCGGCGAGCTGCGACCCCTCTGTGGTGGATCGCCGTATCGTATGCGGCCCTAGAGGAGGATCACATGATTGCATATTGGGAATCGACCGATTATCTCGAGGTCACGAAGGTGATGGCCGCCGTGGACTCAGATCTCTTCACCTACCACCAAGCTCGACGTCAGCGGCGGATCTGGGCTGGCGAAAGTTGGCAAAAGCTGTTGGGGGAAATTGTGCTAATGATGAGAGCCCAGTCGGCCGACGTCGACGTCTTGTTGGACCTCTATTTTCTCCACCTTCCGACAAAACATGATCGTGTGCGTCGGTACGCCGGATCGGTCTCCAGGGCGGCCAACCTCACGCAGGCGACAGCGAATCTTCCCGAGCCGACCGACCTGATCACGGCCCTGTTCGAGTGCGATCAAGCGGATCCCTGGAGGAATCACTACCGGTATCCCGGTTCCGCTCACCCGTCGCTGCAGATCCCTCGTCTCGTGAACAAGTCCGGTCCTCAAGCAGCCCCTTGATCGTCGATCTAGCTTCCACTCTTCGCCCACCTCCGTGATCTCCAATTTCCTACCCGCGACCGGGTTCCCTCCCAGTCGATCCGTAATATATCCTTATTTAGCCACATCTTATGCTCGTTTGTTCTTTTCGTTGCCATTCTTAAGTGATCTCTCTTCCAGCTCCTCATATCTTCCGTGATTTCTTGCGACGGCTTCCATATGCATATATATAACTTGAGCACCTGATCTCGGTCTTATCTGACCGATATTCCATCGGGGGCGAGACGATCAGGTAGTCTCACCCCGATCTTCTCACATCTCCTCATGTGATTGCATCACATTGAAGCGGTTCTGATTAGCCCGTTCTCGCAGGAATGCGTTCATTATTGCCCCGCACTTGAGATCGGCTTCATCGACCCAGGTTGGCTCATCGTATCCTGCCCAATGTACCAGGAATTCTCGGTAGATCCAATCAAATCGCGTCTTCTTCCCACTCCGCACATCAGCGATCCGCTCGACTTCATACTCATCGGCCACTAGATCCGGGACCCAACTATCATCTGGGAGCAGGATCTCATCGAAATCGAGACGCTCCGCCTCATCAACCGTGAGTTCCACTCGCGGCCGATCCGTAAAATCCTTGACCAATTTCAACTTCGAAACGTGCACTACCGGGAAGATCTGGTACCCGGTACCCGCGATCTCGAGCATGATGCTGAATTCGTTGATCTTCTCGGCGACTCGGAACGGCCCATGCCACAGGTGAGCCAATTTCCGCGCATATCCCTCCTTCAGCCGGTCTAGATATAACCAGACGCGAGATCCGGCCTCGATCTGGTGTGATCTGATGGCCTCATTGTGTCAATGGGCCCGATCTGCCATGGCTTCCTTCCATCTGGCAGTGGCTTGTTCTCGGGATTGTTGATAATATCGCTGGACTCGATATCGCCATCGCCGCGCGTCTCGATCGTGTCGTCTTGTACATCCGACTGGTAGTGTAGCCTTCACTGTCGATCTCGGATCCCACCCATGCACCAAGTAGTGAGGGGTATCTCCTCAGATACGATCGTGGGCCGTGTTGATCGCGAATGTAATGCGTTCAGCATATTCGTCCCAATCCTTTTGATCGAGATCGCGGACGTACATCTTGGGCACCCTGGTAGCGGTCTGCGCGATTCGCTCAGCAGTCCCGTTAGCTTGTGGCCGATATGCCATCGTAGCACGTTGTCCCTGTCCCAAGATCTTATTAAACGCCCGGAAGCAATCGGACATGAACCCGGCTCTCGATCGTGCCGGATCATCTCACTGGCCCCAAATCGCCGAAATACCCACTCTTCGTACGATTCCGCCACCGCCTGAGCCGATCAGGACGAGCTGGCTTTCGCGATCACATATCCTGTGAGCAGATCGACCCAGATCAATAACTCTGTGTTTCCCTTGTACGACCTGGGTAGCGACGGTATGTGATCCATCGCAATGATCTGGAACGGGTACGTCGCCTGCAGGTTCCCCGTTGATTCACCCTGGATCACTGGTTTTCCTTTTCCTGTTTCACAATCCACACACTCCCCCACATATCGCTGAGCACTCCGGTGTAACCCTCTTCAGTGGAAGTGATCCCTGATCCGCTGGTAGGTACGCCCAACTCCCTGATGTCCTCCCTCCAACGTGGTGTGATAGTTATGTAAGACGTCAGATTGCAGCGGTTCGGGGACTCCAAATCTCAGCAATCGGTCGCGATCGTCTCGATCTCGGCGTGGGGGCAGTAAAAGAGTAGATTCTGCTCGTCTACCTCGTAGTCGGTCGCGATCTTGCCATACGATCTCGCATCCGCCTGTGCGAGATCTGCAATTGAGCCACTCAGATACTTCTTCATGCCGGCGATCCAGACTTCTTCCTCCTGGGCCTGCTTGATCCGGTCGACCCGGATTTCCCGGATCAGATCCTCTTGCATGACACCCGCCGGTGATCTTGCTCGACCAGCTCGAGTGGTAACCGCAGCAACTCGCATGACTGGATTCTCGGTCTTGGGGATCAAGATTTCGTCTAACCGGATCAGGGTGACCAGATCCTGGTACCGGGCATCTCCCGGACCTCGATCCCATCTTGTCGTTGCAAAGCGGCGCTCGCTAGGCTGTCGGTACTTTCGTTCCGGTCCCTCTTGACATGCACCAACTCATGATCACTCCATTTCCTCAGGCGATCGAGGGCCTTCCGCTTCAATAGCGTCAGTCCGGGTGCTTTGCTGTCGATCTCACCCCGTACATGTCGGATCACTAGGTTGGAATCACCGCAGACCACCAGGCGTTTGCGATCTAGGCCCTCTAGCATGTCGAGCCCCAGGATCAGGCCGTTACATTCGGCTTCGTTCACGGTGAGACTCTCGAGATAGCACGATCTGGCCTTGACCACCTTCCATCCGGGCAGACTCCAAGCGATCGCGCTGAACGCGCCCCCGCCACGCTTAACCCCAGCGGATCCGTCAAAGCTGACCACCCATACTTCCTCGTCTTGATCTACGGTGGGTATCAGTGCTTGGCCCCGGCGTTTAGGTTCCTTCCGGGGAGCGATTTCGATCAGAGCGTCGTCCATCTTTGCCCTCGGCGTGATGCTGGCCGCGATCGCCCATAGTATTTCGTCCTCGCCCTTCGTATCTCGAGCGTTCACGGGGCTAGGAGGGCGGACCATTGTCATAGGCGACCCTGCAATCCCGTCGACTTGAACAGCCAGGCCAACGTGGAATGTCTCGTTAGGACCCGAATCTCGCGTCCTACTACCAAATTGTAATAGAGATCCAAGATCCTCAGCAGTGCCAACACCTCCTTCTCAGTCACATTATAATTTAACTTGTTCGTCTTCAAGGTGCCACTGACGAACGCCACCGGGTGATAGATCCCGTCGTGTTCTTGTGTCAACGAGGCGGATATCGCCCAATCACTGGCATATACGATGACTACCGGCGTTCTCGTCTCGTCAAAATGGCGGAGGATTGGGGTAGTCGCGATCTTAGGTTTCAGGGTGATAAAGGGCCAATGTGCCCTGATCCGCCTCTCGTCCACTGATCCCGTCAACTGCAGTTCCGATGAGTCATGATCTCGAGGGATAGGGTCGTTCCGATCCATGATCGCCCTCAGCTCCGATCGTTTCTCCAGTTCTGCGAACTCCACCTCGCATAATTCGTAGAGTACCGAAGCGTAGATGGCGTAATCTTCTCTGAACCGGCTGTAGTAGTTCAAACTACCCAGGAATGCCTGCATAGATGGCAGTGATCCGGGGAATGGTAGATCGGTTAGGGATTTCAGATCCTTCGGGCTCGCCTCCAAGCCCCCGATCGAGACTCGGTGTTCCAGATGTCTTACCTTATCCATGCCCCCAAAACTCCTGGCTACGCTGATCGACAAAATCCACTTATCACAAGCTTCCAACAGATTTTCCACTCTTCGGCACATTTGACCCCACGATTCCGACGCGATCAGATGTCGTCGATGTATGATCTCCGTCCCAACACTGAGTTCTGGTCAGGATCGTCCGCGATCCCGGTCTGGAACACGTCC